GAAAGACGTTTCTCCGACTTGAACGACAACGTCACTGGGAAGTCCAGTTGAGCAAAGCCTGCCATAGAAGAGAACATTAATTATTCAACAAAAGAAGAAGAAGAAGAAGAAGGGCATAGAGGTAGAACTGATTAACAAAAGTACAACTGATACAGTACACTTATTAATTCGTTGCAAGGGAGCAACAAGGAATATGTGTAAACGTTGACATCGATCAAGACACCAAGCAAGTTGTCTCACGAGAAAAAGTTTCTCTGTTTTCCCATTGGTCTCATAGCAAGAATCAACCAAATATAGATTCTACTCATCTGTTATATTCTCTGAAATCTATCTCCTTTTCTTGTTATGATTCAAACCATGGAAGAACGTCAACAAAAAGGACAGAACCCAATTGAGTAATTCTCTAAAGAACCTACACAAGAAAATTAAAACCCAGAAATCTCACAATCTAAAAGTGCAAATGAAACCAACCCATTATGCCATTCCCAGTGTTATGGAAAACCCAACATTCTAAATTCTCAATGTAAAACAGAAAAGAAAAGCCAGCATCAAAACAACATACCAAGTTTGGCCATCAAGGTGAAAGACTTCAGATTTAGATCCCAACTTCACGCACGCCATATCTAAACACTCTTCAGTCTGTCCTCCAATATCATTCAAAACAGCTCCACCAAAGAGACGTATATATCATTCAAAGGCAGTGCTGAAGATGGGTTCTCTCTCTCTCTCTCTCTCTCTCTCTCTCTCTCTCTAAACTCTTTTGAGCTTTTGGGGTACAGGGCAGGTTGGAGAAGGTCCCGAGTCCAAAGGGGAGGATCTAAGAGATAATTCAGTTCCTGCTGTTACGGGGAAAAGGCAGTGTTTGGTGCATCACTCTCTAGAAAAATAACCTATATTTTTTTTCTTAATTTATTTTTCGTAACTTCCAACGTCGGATGAGTACTATATAATATTCGACTTTAATGAAACTCTCATTAAAAATATTTGGCCAGACCTGCTTCAAATTCTCCGTATGTACAGTCTACTTTGTAAAAGATTTATAGCTATCCATTCTTAGAAGGGCCCGATTATGGCGGACAGAATGGAACGTGACAATAAGACCTTTCTTTGTCTCGCAAAAGTTATCAAATTTGCATGGGATGGGATTTGACTCTTCCTATCTCTCAACCGAGAAAATATATTTCGACTTTATGGAAAGGATGGTTAATGAATTCCTCAATTTGGATCCTCCAATAGTTTTATTTCCAAATTCTGCCCCTACTTAGCATGGAAGCATTTTCTTTTCTTCTACCATTGCAAAAGTATAATTCTTTTTTTTTTTTTGGATCTAATTCTAATCTTATTGATGGTTTTTTTTTTTTGGATCTAATTCTAATCTTATTTATGGAAATAAACTTTTTTTTATCACCAGTTATGATTTGCAAGCTTTTTTTTATGACTACGACATCACCACAATATATAATTGTATACAACCAAACATTTAAAAAAATTTCTTGTCGACAAGTATTGGTTCAAATAAAATGGGAGAAACGGAATAAAGATAGAAATCCACCTAACTTGCCTATTTTCTTAAAATTGAACCTAATATCCATTCCTTACCAATTTGCATCGTATTTTTGTTTGACTTTCCCACTACATGACACATGGTGTTCCTAAAATTTGTCTAACAAGCTGGCTTTTCAACCATACCTATACAAAAAGAAAAGAAAATTTTGTGGTTTTAAAAAAATTAAAATAAATTATTGATCAACTCTATAGTTTCGTCAAACAATTTGTTTGATAGTGCTTCTGTAGCAAGCACCTTCACTTAAATGATTTTGGGTGAGGGGAAATCGAATCTAGAACATCGATAAATTTTTATATGTTTCAGGTACACCACGTGGGTGGTGTACCATCCAATACACATGGAACATATAGGATATCGGATATATGAATAAAAATAAATATTTTTAAGCACTTGAGCTACAAACCCCTTGTCAAACACTTCCGCTTATAAGTTTGTTGCCTCTTTTTTTTTGGTCGAAACCTCTTATAAGTTCTTTATTGGGAAAACGGATTGCCAAACAGGCCTCTCCCTCATATAAGCAATGGACTTATTTAAAAATGAATAAGTTGAGCCCATAACAAGCCCAGACAAACAAAGCCCAAAAACCTTGATCCTCCATTCCTGAATGGTCAAAGCTCGAACACCACTAAAGAGTGAGCCTAGCTCAAGTCTTTCCACCATACACTGCCCCAGTCGTCGCAGGAGAGTCAAAGCACTCTCTCACTGGAAGCCATGGACGCTTTGCGAAGCTTAGGTCGAGTAATCGTAGCTTTCTGGATCTTGTCCCATCTCTCACTGCTTGCTTACTCCTCTTCCCCTCAGGATCTCCAGATCCTCAACGCTGAGCGCAGAGTAAGCCTTCCCTTTCATTTCCGCTTCACCAGCGCTCAAATTATCTTCATCGTTATGATTTATATGCATTTATGTTTGATCAATCTATATTCTTCGCAGATTGACTTGTCCTCTCACATTGTTAAGGTTTTCTTGACGTTAAAGGTATATATTTTCTGTATTTTCTGTATTGCTTACACTCTTGGATTGGACTCATTATTGTAGAAAATTGTACCGAATCTGTGGAAATTGGAAAATTTTCTGGGTGTGGAATCAAGTCTACATCTTTGATATCATAGTTTACAATTTTATAGATATCTTTCATGTCGAATTTTCGGCATCAATGTAGATTATTGAGCTTAGTTTCAATCTTTAATGTAATAGATTTACGAAACGTAGTCTGAATATGGTATAATCTGTATAGCTGAGCTACAGTATCAGAAGTTTTGAAATTTTAGTCTTTTCTTTACAAATTGGCATACCACCTGCGAGTTTTGCTGCACAATGCACCGCAGGTGGGACACAACACTTGTAACAATGACAAAAATGAACCGTAGACAACTGTACTTTGTGATCATATAGCATCAGTGATTTTGAAAATAGCTTTTTAATGTACTGGGATGTTTATTAGATTGCTGGGGTTGTCTTTCAGGTTGAAAATACCGGTGCATCTCCTGTTTCGGAAGTACTTCTTGCTTTTCCACCTACACAGGTTGATCATATTGCTTCGCTCAAAGCAGCTCTCACTGTTGGAAAAAAGAAAAGGAAAAGCTATGTGCCTCTTGAAGTGAATCCCACTGACCTCCCTGATGCACCAAATCAGACCAAATATTTTTCCATATCTTTGCTCAACCCATTAAATGCAGGTGAAACTGCAACATTAGAAGTGCTTTATATATTGACACATTCTCTGGAGCCTTTCCCTGCAGAGATAAACCAAGCAGAGTCTCAGTTGGTCTATTATCGTGATAGTGCAATAATATTGTCACCGTATTATATTAAGCAGCAGACTACTTTTATAAGAACACCTAGTACTAAGGTGGAATCATTTACAAGAGTAGAGTCCACTAACCGCGCTGGTACTGAAATAAAGTATGGCCCTTACAAGGATCGCCCTGCATACTCTTATTCTCCAGTAATTGTTCATTTTGAGAATAACAAGCCATTTGCTGTCGTTGAGGAGCTTGTACGTGAAGTGGAAATATCTCACTGGGGCAATCTTCAGATCACAGAGCATTACAGGTTGTCACATGCTGGTGCGCGACATAAAGGTGTTTTTTCGAGGTAGGCTCTGCTGCTGGTCTTTTCTTCTATATTTATTATATGCTGATGTTGTAAATCCTGCTCTCTGTGTAAGTTTATGCATCTATGTATTTCATGGATGCTTCACTTTTGTATCCATATTGCTCTATTTTTGGTTTTGTTAGCTCTTCTTTTTTGTTCCCCCCAGACATGGTAATATTAACTTACTGATTCACGAACTGCTATATTTCAGGTTGTGCTACCAGAGGGATCAAAAGATCCTTCTGCTGTGGTTCCTTTCTCGGTTAAGCAACATCTAGAGGTAATCCAGTTGTAGCGCTTTATTCATATTGATAGATGCAACCATATGATAATTCAACTTTTTTTCCCCTCTATACTGTTTGCAAAGTGCATTAAAAAAAATTACAAGATTTTAACTCTTTTTCATTTCCCCAAAAAAAAGGACTATCTAAATATTTATATATATATAAAAAAACCTTTTTATTTGCTGCAAATAAAATGGTTTTTTATTTTTTATTTTTATGTGATGGTGATTGTGAGCATATCTTTTCATTCTTATATCTGCAGACCAAATATTCATACCTTGATGTTGCTGGAAGGACAGTGGTGGTTCTTGAAAAGGAAAATGTAGTTCCAGAGCACAACTCTCCTTTCCAGGTGACTAGGCTATAACTAATATTGCTTGAAATTTACTCTCCTAAGTATTCTATATATTGCTTGAGGTAAGCTATCCTAAACCCTAAAGTCAGGACTGTCAACTCTCCACATGTAGCCAGATACGCTCCCACCAATGACATATTCTAGGATACTATTATAGTCCTATACACACTCTACATGAATTTAAAAGAGCACAAGCTCTCCAAGTGGTTAAGTTCAACCTCAAAAATGTCTATATGTCATTGGTGGGAGCGTATCTGGGATCAGTTAGGCTCAACCAATGGTAAATATGGCACAAAGGTTAGCATATATTTTAGTTGTGCATTGCAGGGTAGGTCATTGATCCTAGAATATATATATGTTCTACTTGTGAAATGTTCATTCTATAATATTATGGATCAAGTGAGTTTGAATTTTCTTAGAGTCCTGTCTCGTGAAGGAATTGAATTTAAATGCATTATGTATATGCATGTGCACCTTCCTTAATATAATAGAATGAGTAGTGGCTGAACCCACTCTTTCTCCTGAACTTAATTTGGCAGGTTTACTACAGCTTCAACCCAATTTTTATGCTGGCAGAACCACTAATGTTAGTGTCTACATTTTTCTTCGTGTTCATGGCTAGTATAGCTTACCTACACATAGATTTTTCGATATGCAAGACATCATCTTGATTCCTCAAGGTATGGTTTCTACAACCTGGAATTACACACTCGCGATAGAATGATCTTTACAGTCGAAACTATTTTACTTTGTAGCTTATCTGGTGAAACAACTTGAACTTGTAGATGATTACGTGGAGCTAAGGAGCCAGGACGCTTGTGTGTGAACGTTGGCAGTCACTCTGGGTCCAAAAATTTGAAATTACCCTATATGATGTGGGTTACCGTGAGATAAATTTTGCTGTGCATTGACCCTCTCACTTTATAAAGCTGAATGTAGCGTTATATTATGGACCTAGTCTTTAGAGATACACGAAGATTCAAATGCGTTTTGATAGTGAAAATACTTTGTTATAAATCATTTTAGATAATATGGCAGAAAACTTGATCTTTTTTATGGCCTAAAATGTGGATGAATATAAGTACCAAGCTACAGTGCTTGTATGTAAAACATTGTTCTGTCATTCTTCTTGTTACCCAGAGCACACTGTAAGAACTAGAAAACAGCAAAAATAAAGTAAAACTACAGCACGTTGAGACTTATTGCCAGAGTTCTGAGTCTTTTCATTAATTCCCAATACATAAAATTACAAATTAAGCTTTGTCAGAACTGTAAACGAACCCCCAAATAAACATCAAACAAAATTACGACTATGCAACCAAATGACAGCTCCTCTTGCTTGCAAGTTGCAGCTTCCATCAAACGACAGGTCCTTATACAGCTTTCTTCTCGTCGTAGCTCTTCTTGTATAACTTGGGCGATTTGGAGCTTACCAAGACAGCTAACTTCTTCACCAAATTGGGATATGAAATAATGTCACACCAATTAAAGACTGTGTAGTGTGTGTGAGTTAATATATTATCGCTCCTCTGCATGCATGCGTTATGCATAGATAAAAAGGACAAAAAAAGCCCTGGCAAAATGGAAATCATTAATAATGATCCGAATTCCAAAGCCTCCTCCATCACACTTTGTCACCTTGTAAGTTAACATATGCGGCCTTGTCGTCGTCTCAATCTCAAATCCCAGCAGCAGCACAAACTCAATCTGAAAGATTTGCGACCACGTCACTCAGCCCACCAAGAAAATGAATGCGATTTGCTTCCCCATCATTCCATTCCATCCCTCAACAGTCAATAGTCACCATCAAACAACCAACCAACCCTCTCTCTCCCCACCTAAAAACTACCAAGTTTATTATTATAGGCTTCTTCCTTTAGCATTTGCCATAACGCAACCCATACGTTCTCATCATATTCATATTATCCAATTTTGGACAGACCTTTCTTTCTTGTATCTCTCCAAAAAGTATATATGGTTGGTTAGCTCATGAAAATCCATTATCATCATGGGTTAGCTTGGGTTGGGCAACTTTTTACAGCTTGGTCATCATCAGGCTATGACTTCTGAGCCACTGCATCTACATGCGCTTTCTTGTTGGTTCTAATTCGTTTTTATTAATGCAAGTTAGATAGTTCATAGGCTTTGATTTTGACAGACATTGAAGATGAGGGATGGCAATGGTTTGAGTTTGGAAATAAAATGTCTCATTTTGTAAGGAACTACTGACCTTGACATTTTCAGTTCTGCAATATGGATAGGTAGTCAATAGCAATCAATATCACACAAGTCATACTGCCCATGTCTCCAAATAGGTATTATCATGCATATATATATAAGTGTATCTTTAATCATTTGGGGAAGAAAAAAAAAAAGAGTATGAAAATTGAGGTAAAGACAGTCTTAGGATAGACTCATATGAGTTATAATTAGCTCCATGCATAAAGTTAATCTGCAATTATAAGTTTTGTCAAGAAAAGGTATATAATGTCAAAAAGAAAAATGAGAGTGACCCTAGTTTTGCTTTTGTTTAAAGAAGCAACCACAATGAACAAGTATAAAATTTTAAAAACCAAAAGTTTTTTGGTGGGTCTACTAATTTCATGTCACATTGACCCTTTTTACTGGTTTACTGCTAAGCTTTTTGACTTGAGTAAGGGGTGAAGAAGAAAGTCTATGAACTGATTTTAAGCATAAAGTTCTGAATTTTTCATCATGTAAAGTAATTAAAGTTAATAAGAACATCATTGGAGTTTTAGTCTCATATTCTTTAATAATTATTTACTAAGCTGTCCACTAAACTTTTATGGACATCTCAACAACCTCACAAAATGAAAAGTTCATTCTTTTTCTTGATGTAATTGACACAACTACATTCAAGAAGACTATGAAATATAATTACAATTACATACTAAGATGGCTTTCTACATTTTGTAAGTAAGATTCCTTCCCCTTTGGCTTGCTAGTCTTGTCCAAGTTCTAAACAGGACATAATTTGAGTATGAAATTATTTCAAGTGAGACTAGTCCTATAAATAGTGGATGTTATTTACAGTCGTTTGATTGACGGATTCATTTTCTTTTTCTTTTTCTGTTAGAGTTTAAGTAACTAATTGAATTTTTCTGAATAAGTAAAATTTTGCATCCAAAATGCACTCTTCAGATCATTCAAAAGAACATTATAAGTAGTCATTGCAATCACTACACAAAACATAGTAATGTATAATAAACAATATCAATATGAAACCCCTCTTGTACATAGAACTTCTTACTACACACTAGGCAAAAACCAAAGTCCTGCCTTGTCTGTGAAGGTACCAGAGAGACTTTCTTTCCCATTTTAGTTTTTTGTTGCTTTGGGGAAAATTTTGTGAATAAAGTTTTGGTTGACCTAGTAAAAGGACAGGTGAGGAGGAGGAACCATTGCCAGACAGAGAAGCAGAGCATCGATTTTGGCAACCTTTGGAAGGACTAAGGAATCCATTGATTGGACACCATCCACTTGGATGCCTAAACAGCTCAAGTCTTATTTTAAGCAAAAAGACACCCTTCTCTTTTTATTATGGGCCATGCTCTGCCCCTTCCTTCCTTGCTGTGGCAGTTATGTTTCTTTCCTAACCAATAAAAATTATATTCTAAAACCTCTTCTAAATCTTAGATTTATTTGCTGGTTTCTTAAAAATGTCTAGATGTTTGAACTTAATTTATAATTTTTTACCATTAATTAAAGACTATTAACTCTTGTAACCCAAAAAAAAAAGGATTATTCACTCTACAACTCATCATCTTTTTTTATAGGGTGTCACACCTACGCGGAACTCTGGATAGAGAAGAAGGATCAAATATTCCCAATTGACCTTCTTGCCCTTGGTTGCTTAAACTCAAATGATATTTATTTGGAAATTCAATTCATGCATCATAACTTCACAAACCCACTTAATCATACCTTCATGTTCCTTTACTTTTTGAACAATGCTAACGAAACTTACTCCAAAAAGAGTTCTTACATGAATTTTTTGACATATCGTAGTTTTAATTCAAGAATTAATATTAAGTTTGACTCACTTTTTGAGCAAAAAATGATACATCTCAAATATTAGTAAGTTATGAAGAAAAAAAAACGTTAAATTACACTGCCAACCATTCTGCCAAATTTTCATAAATGGAGAACACTACTCAACTGTATGATAATTATGATGACAATGACTGTAAAAGATGCTATTAATTGCATTCAAGATATTGACTATTTTCTTTAATCAAACCCAGAAAAACCACAACATTTAGGAGGTATTTACCAACAAAAATAACAATTAGAGGGTACTTAGCCTCTTTGGAAAGATTAATATACATTTTATATTTCTGAAAAACTGCAAAATGCAGCACCATGTATTTATGCATAATGCTTGCATTCAGAAATCATACCATTTAGAAAGAAGAAAATAAAATTATATGCAAGAGAATGAATATAAAACTACTTAAATTACAACAAATAAGACGAAGGGGTAAAATTGGAATTGCACAACCAAACTCTGAATCGTATATATACGCCAAAATCAGTTCTTTCAAAACCGGGAACAAGAAACAGAGAAAGAAATACAGAAACAAAGAAAGGGAGAAAGAAAAAAAAGAAGAGCATTGCTCTGAGAATCTAGCTCTGAAATTTCTGTAATTGATTCTCTGATTCCCCTAGGTGGGATCAGAGGATCATCTTTCCTGCCCCAATCCACAATTTTAACAAATTGGCATCTTTTTTTTGTTCATCCAGCATTACAACAATTTTGAATAAGAAAAAAAAACACAAACAATCATCTTTGATAAGCTAAAGACTCTCCGAAATAGTGCTTGGGAAATCAGAAAGTTGGTGTCTTGTGATCTTTTCTCAAATGGGTATCTCACAGAATGATGGTACAATGGAAGGTTGGCTTTACATCATTGGGTCCAATCGGCTTGGGTTGCAATACTCACGCAAAAGGTACTTTATTCTTAAGGATAATTGCCTGAGGAGCTTCAAAGCCAAACCTTCTTCTGACTCGGAGGTACTTTGCATTCATCTTTCATCTCAGTTTTCTCTCTCTCTCTCTCTCTCTCATCGTATGCATTGCATTCCCGGCTTGTTTCTTAGAATTCCTATGCTTGTGTAAAAACCCATGTTGCAGAATCAGGAATTGGGTTTTGGTTTTGATTTTTTTTGTTTTTTGTTTATGCAGATACCATATATGCTTTGATTTGATTTTTTTCATATGAAAATCATGTATGTAAAATTGTGTTGTTCTCTGAAAGCTTTGTTTTTGTTCAATTTTAATTGGACTAATGGATTTATTTCATATTTGCTTTTATGGTTGGTATAAAACTATGCTTGCTATACTGGATTGATGCATATTAATTTCTGGATGGCATCTTAACCTCCCATTTACTTGTGCTATCAACTACGTCCAGATGCTTTTCAGAATTTCTTGAATTTTCAGTATGGATTTTGTTGTTGATGATAGTGCACAAATCAGTAAGAAATGCTCAGTGGAAACTTTTTCTTTGTCAGGAACCAGTTAGAAGTGCAGTAATAGACAGCTGCATTCGGGTCACAGATAATGGCAAGGCAAGCATTCATAGAAAAGTATGGACCTTGGAAAACCCTATGTTTTTCAGAAATTTTGGAGCAATTTTGTTGGCATGCGAGAGATACATTTTTTTAGTATGTACGTTTGTAACGATTTTTCCAACATACAGGGGTTCTTTATTTTCACGCTCTACAATACTTCCAATCACAATGATCAGCTCAAGGTGGGGTGCATTTCAAGTTATACATCATTAGGTAGATTTTTTGATATATTGATACATAATTGAAATTAAACTTTTTATAGTTGGGAGCAAGTAGTCCAGAAGAAGCAGCAAAATGGATGCGTTCGTTGAAGGATGCTGCATTAAAGGTTTCAGGCTGCTAAATTACAACCTATGAGAATAGCAGTTTTCATTTATGATATGTACCTTATGTTTTATATGATTTCAGGAGTGCCCGGATACAGCGAATAATTTTGTGGCTTGTTCCAAGGGCAGATGGCCATCTTTTATGTATGTATCAGTTGCACCTTGAACACATCCAGTCTCCTAGTTACTAATTTATATGCTTGTATATTTTCATTGTGTAACTATTGTGCATGCCTGTGTTGGTATATATTCTTTTCAGGATTTAAGATCTTGATTTTAAAAGCTATAATTAAAACTTGCATATAGGACAATAGAAGCATAAATGCTGTTGTTTTATTTTCTTGCCCCATCTGATGCTCTTATTCTTATCCCCATGTGCAAACCTGAACTATATTCTGTTATAGACTGATAAAATTACTGTGCATTTGTACGTGTCACATATCTTGTAGGACACCCTAAATGCTTTACCGAAGAAAACAAAATTCTTGATCATCTGATAAAATTGATGTTGCATGTAGTAGTGAGAACAATTACATGCTCTTCTTTTAGATTTGAAGCTAAAATTGATGTTGAACTTATTTTTTTTAGTTAGGTTGAAACTACATATCATTTTCCAAATCTACAGTTGCCCTTGTTTTATTTATAGTTTTTATGTTTCGGCAGACGGGGTGGTTCCAGGAGGGCAGAACGTAAAATCTCTGTTGATTGGACTTTTGGCTCATTGACTCACACAGAATCTATGACATCTGATGTTATTGCTCCCTCACCATGGAAAATTTTTGGTTGTCAGAATGGTAAGACATTTTAAGTTTCTTATCTGCATCAAGAGACTGAATGCCTATATATCAAAAGAATCATTTATTATGCAGGATTACGGCTTTTTAAAGAAGCAAAAGATTGGGATTCCCGTGGAAGGGTGAGGTTCTCTTTTGATACATGAATTCTTGATTGTTGTACTTTGTTCTCTTCTTTTCTTAGCTGAATGGCATTTTTAATCTCAGCATTGGGACGACCATCCGGCTATAATGGCAATAGGATTGGTTGATGGAACTTCAGAGGCCATTTTCCGGACCCTTTTATCTCTTGGTCCCTCAAGATCAGAGTAAGATCACTGACATGTTACGTCAACCTTTTTAGAAAATGGAGCCTTTGATGCTATTAGAAGCTATAGTAGCAATGGCCTCATTGTATTGGTTCAAGTAATGGTAAGAGTATTTGGATGTGGATATAGGAATAGTAGGGGACGGTATGCAAAAGACAAATGCTTTTGTGGAAGAACATGTTTTTGCACTGCCATTTTCCCTTAGAAAAAAAAAAATCTCCTTGTGCTTTATACACTACAAGATTCACTATCAGTGCTGAATCCTCGATGTAATTGCTTTCTTTGAAAAGAAAAATATTATATTTTTTTTCCTAATAATGGATTGTTCTCATTCCAGAGGTTGAATTACCAAGTGTCTTGCAGATGGGACTTCTGTTTCTACCGGGGTAGCGTGGTTGAGCACCTTGATGGTCATACAGATATTGTTCACCAGAAGTTATACAGTGATTGGCTACCTTGGTTAGATTTGGAACCTCATTTTTTTTATAAACAAATTAAAAATAAATGTACTGTTTTTTGAGAAGTCATGGTTTCCAGGGGGATGCAACGAAGAGATCTACTGGTACGTCGCTATTGGAGAAGAGAGGATGATGGCACATATGGTATAAATTCAGCAGAAAATTTAAATCATAGCTAAAGCTATGTAGCCATTATTAGCTGACCCTAACTTTCTTTATTTGATTTTGTCACAGTAATTCTATACCATTCTGTGTCTCACAAGAAATGTCCACCAAAAAGAGGCTATGTCCGTGCTTGCCTTAAAAGTAATGTACGCTTTGAGCTGGATATTACTGATTGACTTACATTTATGGCTTGATATCTATTTAGCAGTGAATTATCTATTTTCCTGCTCATTAACTATTTTCCACTGCCCCAAAAAAATGTGTCAGCGCAGCATGCATTTTCGTTCCTCTCTTCTTTCCTTCATCTGCAGCTCAAATGTGCTTAGGGAGATGGGTGGGATTTGGGTTTACTTTTCATCCTAAGTAAGTTCTATATGAATATTATTTCTGTAACCATGCAGGTGGAGGATATGTAATAACTCCTGTGAACCAAGGGAAACAATCTCTTGTGAGACACATGCTTGCTATTGACTGGAAATTCTGGAAATTATATCTGCGTCCATCATCTGCAAGATCCATTACCATCCGTATGCTTGAGAGAGTTGCTGGTATCTTTCCATTACTAGCTTAGGATTGCAATTTTTTATCCTTTCTATTTTTAGATTCTTGTTCATACAACCTTCATTGTTTTTGTAATTTGCAGCATTACGAGAGCTGTTTGGAGCCAAAACTGGAAATTGTTCCTCTGAATTCTCATCCAGAGACTTGACAGGAGATATCAGGTTATCTCAAAGTGGAAAGCACAATATTAAGACTGAAGTTCAGCACCCTGGAGAAGTCAGAAAGATAGAGGAGGGTCTTCTCGTGGAAGATGAGGTTGAAAAACCAGAAGGTCGTGCAAGTTTAAAGGGGCTGCATGACGCTGCAGATGAGTTCTTTGATGTTCCTGAACCAACAGAATATGACCAATTTGAGAATGAGTGGTCTGCAGACTTGAGCATGGAACAGCACTCCACGGTACTTTACTAATCACTAGACTGATCCCTTAGATAACAGAAATAGTTTAACCAAATGTTCTGACTCAATGTTTGCTCCAATTGCTCCTGTCATGTTTTATATTCTGCCATGCACATTGTGCGCCATTTTGTCCAAGGAAATGATCTTTTAACTTTGTTATCTATGATTTATATTTAAAAGTGAATTATTATTTGTTGACTATGGTCTCAACACTCTGCAGAATATACAACAGCCCAAACTATCATCAGCCGCAGTTCTCGTGAAAAAATTGCATGAACTTAGAGGTCAGTTTATTTCATAAGCTTAAGTTGCTCTGGATGGATATATCTAGGTGTTTCTGTCAGTTTTATTTTGACTAAGATTGGCCTAAAATTTCCTCACACTACAGTTCAGAAAAAGGGTTATATGGACTTACAAGATGTGTCTAGGGAAGATAACATATCATGCTCCTACGGGGCAACTCTTCAAAAGGACCCAAGTTGTGCTTTACCTTGCAGCTGGGGATCAGCCGATCCTTCTTCGTTTTTGATACGCGGGCCAAGTTACTTACAAGATCGTCAGAAGGTAATCGTTTGTTTTTCAGCTCCTCCTAATATTGAGAAGAAACAAAAGAATCTAAAATACAAGACGATTCCTTGGAAGTTCTAGATTATGAGTAGTAAACTTGACTTGCATAGGAACTGTAATAATTCAATTATAAAACACCAACCAAATTTCATAAAGCATGTTTTGACTGCAAACCTGCTTTACTCTTGTTGATGGGTTTACTAATGCTCCTCCTTTACATGGCTTAAATAGTATTAAAGAATTTTATGATGGTCTTGTTAAATGACGTATTGAGCATCTCACCAATATACTACATACCATTTTTCTGTTTTGAAAATGAATTTGGTGTTTGCTTTCTCTAATTTATGAACTGAGTCATAATCTTTGTACCAGATCAAGGCAAAAAACACCTTGATGCAACTGGTTGGTGTAGATTGGCTAAGATCTGACAAGCGAGAAGATGATCTAGGCAGCCGTTATGGTGGTATTGTTCAGGTTTGAACTCTCATTTCTTATTGTATTTTTTATGTTGTCATAAATGAACTATTGGACAAATCTGATTCCACATACCTACATATATATGTTTCAAAAAAGAAATTCTAATTATACAATCTATTGGATGGATGCATGCAGAAATATGCAGAGCGAGGTGGATCAGAATTTTTCTTCATTGTAAACATTCAAGTAAGTTTGACATGGAGTATATCATAAAGTAATATCATTATTAGCATCATCAAGAAGCAGATTACTGAGTATCCAATACGCTTGATCAGGTCCCCGGAACAACCATGTACACTTTGGCGTTCTATTACATGCTGAAAACTCCTTTGGAGGAAAATCCTTTACTACATAACTTTGTCAATGGAGATGATTCCTATAGGAATTCAAGATTTAAGTTAATACCATACATTTCTAAGGTCAGTACCAAATTAGCTCAAGAAACAGATACTCGTATAGTACATACGTCTTTCATATTTTTACTGATTACATTGCCGGAGCTGTTTTCTTAGGGATCATGGATAGTCAAGCAGAGTGTTGGGAAGAAAGCATGCTTGGTAGGTCAAGCACTTGAAGTAAATTATTTTCGTGGGAAGAACTATCTTGAGGTAAGTTACCAAATCCTTTATCATGTTATGAAGTGAGAGTTACAAATGCTAATCATGTTTGGCAGTTTTGGTTTAAGGCCTGATCATGGTATTATATCTAACCTATGAATTTTCTGATATCAGCTTGGGATTGATGTCGGGTCTTCAACCGTGGCAAGGGGGGTGGTAAATCTTGTTCTTGGTTACCTCAACAATTTGGTCATAGAAATGGCATTTTTGATACAGGTAAACAACCAATAATGCCACAAAATGCCACAAACTGCATGTAAACAAATTTCAAGTTGAAAAGATGACATTTAATTTGAAGAAATGCTAACATTGGAAAATCTTTTGCAGGCCAACACAGAAGAGGAACTTCCAGAAGTCCTTCTTGGAACATGTAGAATCAACCATTTGGATGCATCCAAATCAGTCCTGGTAAAACCATGATTTTCACCCAGAAAGTCTCAAGTATCTTTTTATCAGGCAGATGCCCAAAAAAATATCGACTCCCGGCAAGGAACAAAATTGATGTAAAGAGAGATGCTGATCTTGAAAAATCTGACTGTTTACAGTCATTTTTCCATCCAATCAATGATATATATTTTTCCCTGTGATTGGATTATTTGTAGGATTATACATAATATCATAACATAAATCAGACCAAAAAGAAAAAAGGAAAAAAATTTGTTTTCTGATACATACATCATATGTGTTGAAGATCATTATAAAGTGGAACTCAAACTCAGCCCAGCCCAGCCCAAAATTAAGCTTTATAAACAAAATTCAAATTAGAAACTTAGCTGTCATGTTTCAAAATTTAACATGTAAATGCTGCCATCAGAAGCCTACATTGCCTCTAAATTATCTGTTTTTTTATACTCTTCTTGTCAAAACCATCATCGTCGTCCTTCACACCACTCTCTATCAATGTAGCCACAAAGTATTGCATTTTGCTCATGCAAACTCGTGATCATTCATTATATTACGACACCCTGCATGCATAGCTCATTGTGTTTAATGTGACCGGTTCGTCACTTTCTTTTTCGAAAGTACTACTGAATTAAGAATTAGTTACTGTCAGCCTAATTCTGCTAAAACATCTTTAAATTGGGCTTTATTATGGACCTGCCTATGTTTTTGCACTTCTTGTCGTATAAGCATCTCACTGTCATAGCCTTACCTAACTGGAACAGCTTGCAAAATTGGGCTGGGCTTTCCTAAAACGATTAGATTAGGGGCGAGAGTTACTACCTAATACGACTTGAATCCAACACGAAATTACACGAAATTAGCAAGCTATAGCTAATTATTGCATAACAGATATCCATAATCCCACTAGGGGCGAGAGTTACTACCTAATACGACTTGAATCCAACACGAAATTACACGAAATTAGCAAGCTATAGCTAATTATTGCATAACAGATATCCATAATCCCACAAAGTACTAACTCCTCTTTTGTCTATTTTGTTCCTTATTATTGAGTTAACATAATTATTTAGCAATTCCGACACGACACGACCCGATTAATAAATAAATCCGAATCAGTATCATATTATTCGGCACGATTATTCGAACTAGTCGGATTTTTAGGATAAAATTGTACCGGGAACAAGATGGCATGATTGCAAGGACCTGTCACTTCACACCAAATTGAAGTTTGTAAATGTCTAAAATAAATCTTTGAATCAATCATACAAACAATACAATCTCACCAAAGCTCAAACTGAGGTTGAGTTAAGCAGAACCCTAGAAATACATATGGTATATAGACAAGTTCTGCCGACAGGTTTTTCTGAGTCTCCACAGTCTACGCAAAGAGAGAAAGAAAGAAAGCCAAACAAATACGTTTGTGCAAATTTTTGATGTCTTTGTCACACACACAAACCCCTACTTGCATAGCAATGAAATACTAATACAAATAAAATTTATATATATAAAAAAAAAAGTGTGGTTTTAAAAATGTCATGCAAAAATAAAAAGAAAGTAATTGAAGAATTGCCATTAATTTGTGGGGAACCATGCTTTTAACAAATCTGATAGAGAGATAGCTACACTGCTCCCTCACCCATGAACACTCGACAAAGTGGCCACAATGCCTTTAAAGATCCGGGAGTGGCTTGCCACTCTCCATTTTTTACACTGAAAATCATTGGGAAAATGACCGTAGTACCCTTGCATTTGATAAATTGATGAAATGAAAAAAAATAATAATAATAAATTCGGAACGTTGTCCCCACGTTGTGTCATCTGATTGAGGCACCCACGTGGCACGTGGCCACAATCAAAGGCTGAAGTATTTGGCTTTTTATTCTTTTAAAAAACATTTGTGGGTGTTTTTTCTTAATTAATTAATTAGGTGTTAATTTAATTTTGGTTTTGCCTCTCACATCACATGTAAGCATCGCTTTCACGTACCCATTCCCGGCGCTTATAACGCTCACTGCAATAGTGCAATATGCATTTAAATAAATAATTTTCCACATCAATATCACGAGAAACACTTTCGTTAAACGGAAATATCACTATTTTGCTATTATTGACCAATCACTGCATGTCATGTGTGATAACTTTTTCATGTGACAGATTGTAATTGACTAGCAAAACAGTGATATCTCATATTCATACAAGTTTTTCTGTCACTATCACTCCATCACAATATCAATTTCTAATATATATATATACTTTTCTTTAAATATAAAATAAAATAATTTATTCTAATTCTGATGTGAATATCAGAATATTTAGTAGCCATATAAGCCACTGGAGCAAGACCACCACCTCCACATGTGGCTGATTATAATTATAATTATTCTTGTTTTTTTTCTTCGGGTCAAAACATTATTCTGGGTTCGAAACTTGCCAAATTCCAGCTGCCACATATGAATTTTTGTAAGGTGTTGCATGACAGCATGTTCCAAGATCGATTGATGGATCGGGTTAGTTGAATTATTGAGGTATTATTTTATTAAATTAAAGTTGAGGAAATAATAATCTGATAACGTATATTTTGTTTATATATAATGTGACAAAAAGGGGCATAAGTTTGCGACGACTCAGCCATATAATCTGACAAAAATGTGGCTTTCTTGTTCAAATGTTGATGATCATCCATGTTACTTATTATGTCAAGTGATGAGAAGAAGCCCCAACACTCCATTCTTTGAAGTTTAAGGTTTCTTTGTCTTGGTTCATCAATACATTTAAATTTATACAAAGATCAGGAGGCCATTTTGACTCTGTATTTTACTATTTGTATGTATGCGTTTAACCAATCACATATAGTTATATAAGACTTTATTGTACTTGAAAGCAGTTGTTAACGCTTATATTATCACGATCTCTTTAACCTTATATGTACATCCGTCCTTGTTATTGTAGATCCGTCCTTGTTATCAGACTAAATGACCCTTGACATATCAACTAACATATTACTAATAGGGAGCATACTGCGACACTCATCCAATTTGTTTATCAAGTTTTCCCACGTTATTATCTAATTTACTTTTACTACTAAATAAGATTATAAAAAAAGAAAAAGTTACAGGGATGAAATTGTAATTGTAAAATTTAGTAGCCAAAAAAAACAACCGAAAACCGTTAGAGATACAGAGTTGTCACGAGAGTCAAAAATAAACGCACCGACACGTTTAGGATCCCCGTGCATAGGTTCTGGCCCAGTAACCTTCCGTAGCCGGTAAACAACCCATTTTGTCAGACATTTGCCACCTCCAACTCCCGGTTACCCCGTCTCTCCGCTACTGTCGGCACCGACACGCCATATTCATTCCCGGTCATTTTACATTTTTCTTTTTATTCTTTTTCCCCTTTCGAATTTTGTTTTGTTTTGTTTAGGAAACATATTCGGATGGTACAATGTGCTTTCTTTTCCGCTGCTTACTGTTGTACGTCTTACACTAGATGAGGTGGCACTTATTGGGATTGTCGCTAAGCAAAGTACCAGTAACTGAGTCCGAGTCTGTTTTTTTGGGGTGAGTGGTTGTGTGTGGTGCGGTGTAGGGTAATACCGTGGGGGTTGTTACTAATAAATGCATTGATTAGTGGGGATTGGGGGACCATGAACCCAATTGTTCCTCACGTGACTTACAGCCATCCAAAATGGACATCTACTTTTTTGTTTGTGTTTTGGGCCGTAGGTTGGAGGATCGAAATCGACTCGAACATTGCTTGGATCAACTGATCTAACTTACATTTTCGATTAATAAGTCATTTTTAATTAAAGAGGAAAATGTTCTTATCATCTATATCTTAAATCTTGCTCCTTCAAGATGAGTACAACTCAAACATGCATGCTCTAAGGTGTAGAGTGAATAACAACAAGTATTACCAAAGATGTATATTACTTAACAATTGGATCATAGCGCACATTGTTAATCACTAATCTCATTCAATTTCTGTTATTCTTAGAGGAAAGAAAATGTTACATAAACAATGAGATACATTGATATCTTTTGAGAAACCAATTGTTATATATTTGACCGTCTCATATATACAATTGTTGAAAATAATTTGTCGACCCACGCATACTTCGACAAATAATGATGCATTTTATGAACCATATATATATCACATATTAGTTGGTATATGCAATAATTTTCATGAAGAATGTGGAAACATAGTGCACATGGTTAGAGACTTGTTACCATTCAAACAAACACCATTTCTTTATTGAACTTCTTGAATAACAAAATCAAACAATGCCCAAGTTGGGTAATCTGAAAAAAAAAAAACCAAAAAAAGGGGCCAGGGGTGGGTGTGCAGAGAACATTTTTTAGAACCGACGGTATTTGGAGTGAATATAATAATTCTCCAAAATTATGCACTGATTTTTGGACTAAAAACACTCCCACACAAGCATGCTATGGCCCACAAAAGTCCCTCATCACATTTAGTCGCCAACTATATATTGTACGGCTGTGATGCAGGGCCCCACAAAGCTTGTGCTCGTGGCCCCACCGCCCATCAAAAATATCTCGCGGTCACGACTGGTTGGAAGGTGTAAAAAAAGAAAGAAATCCAACGGGATGACGAAGCTTTCGTCTGAGCAAAGTTAGAGCGTGAAACGTGGCATGCAATGATAAGTCCAAGTAGACCAAAGCAGTGAGTGTAAGCAAGGAAAGATGAATCCCGAGACAGAGTCACGTGACCCTACCCCACCTCTGGTGCTCTCTTTCCCTTTAGCACTTGCCATATCCAAGCTGGCAGTGAGCGGTTGATTCGCTGTGTGGGTTCCACCTTATGCAGTCAATCTACGGAGGCCACGTCATCTACGCGTTGACGGTGGATCGTGAAGGCGGGCCCCGCTCTAACATGGGGTCTTTTACATGCTCGCACGCACGTTGCATATGACATTTTGGACATTATGACTTCCCCCCGCCTGTCGCGCCGGGTACCGCCACGTCAGAGACTGTGATGTCGATTTACGTGAATGCCCGTGTATCAGGAATGCGAAGATGGAGAAGGGATGGGTAAATTTGTCTTTGGAAGGTTACGCGGTCTTTTCTACTAATCAACTCCATGGATACATGACAACTAACAATTAGCATAAAAAAACTGTTTTGTTGGCGCGTAATATGCACCTTCTGGAAGAAAAATGTTATACTTCTGAGTACGACTTGCCCCTGTTTAGAGACAGTGAATGACCAACTACACAGTGAATTAATTATTTTTTAATTAAA